AAAGTGACCTATATTCTAGTTTCTTGGGTTACACATCACTGAAACATATATTAAGTCTTATGTCTATTTATTAGAGTTCTGGGGGCTTTGGGGTTAATTTGCCAATTCAGAGGTGCATGGTTTGAATGCACGAGCTGCTCCACAGAAAGTTCGGTAATCTCCTCCCATAAGATTCACTGTCTCTGAAAACCCAATGGAGGATCAGCTATAAGTCGATGCCAACTGGAAAATACCCAATAAGAAGTCTATTTATTATACAAGAATAAAGAAAGAATATTTATTGCTATATATCCTACTTTGGGGAGTAGTAACCAGGTTCTTAAAAGACTGGGAGCAACCATCTAAGATGCAAAGAACAAAGAAAAGGGGCGGGGGGAGCAGAGAAGTACTAAAACAATCAGTCCTAAGGACTACTGGACCACACAAACCTCAACCTCTCAGGGTCCAGAAGAACTAGATGGTGCCTGGCCACCATCACTGACTGCTCTAAAAGGAACTCCAGGAGATGACCCTGGGTTGAGTGGGAGCAAATATAGGGGGAACCCTTACTGTGAGCTAGTGACTGGTACAACCTGTGGTCCTTGATCATCCTTCAAACAGGGGAACAAACTCATGCCTGTGGCTCAGCTTTAAGCCAAACAATAGACAGGTCTATTAGGGGTCCCACCAATAACCTTCACCACTGGACCAATGGCACTATCATGACAGATGGGGAAAAGACTGAAGCTGTAATTATTTCACTTTACTTGAATCCACAATCAACACTCATGGAAACAGCAGTCAAAAAAATCAAAAGACATGCTGCAATGGGAAAATCTGCTTCTCAAGGGGCTTTCCAAAGTGCTAAAGAGTTTAAAGACTAAAGTGTGTCTGATCCAAGCCATGGTTTTGTTTCCTGAACATCTGAAAGTTGGATAATGATTAAGAATGACAGAACAAGAGTCAATGCCTTTGAATTGTGGTATTGGGGAAAAGTATCAAGTATCTCATGGACTGCCAAGAAAATCTATCCTGGAGGAAGTACAACCAGCAAGCTTCTTGGACAAAGATATCATGCTAGGAAAGGCAGATAGATCAGAAAAAGAGAGGAAGCCCTTCAAAGAGATAGACTGACCGCTGACTGTAACAATGGGAAAGTAGATACGCACATTGGAAAAGGGAAGACGGAATATGATAAAGGAAGTTTAAAGGCTCGCTGTGAGTCATAGTGGATACAATGGCACATGACAACTACAAACTCCTTAGAATAAACAACCACGTAAGGTTCAAAAACCCCCAGCATTCTCCAAGGATAAAGCCCTAAAGGCTGCAAAGGGCAAAAAAGAAGGACTAATAGAAATGAGAATTAGAGGGCAGAAGTGGGAATTACAATGTAGGTATGGTAATTAATGGTATACACATTAATTACATTCGCACTGAAGCACATATTAATCCTATCAGCCTACTTATTATACAAGATTACAGAAAAAAAATAACTTGTTTTACATTCTATTTTGGTTCCATAGTGATGAGGATGTGTATGAACAAGCAAAAAAAGCAATCTGCTTTGTAAACTCTCAATTCACAAGAGAGAAAATGAAATTTATCTAATCTCATACAAATATGTACATGGAGCAGGAGAGGAGGAGTGGCATGTCTGATCCCATAGGAACAGAGCTGTTGATGGGAATTCTTCCTTCTTGTGAAGTTAATGGAGATCAGACAATGTTGCCTTCACACTCACACCATTTTTACACACAGAAATACACACACAAGGGAGCTCTGGTGGCTTAGGGGCAAAGAGCTGTGCTGCAATACTGAAGGTGTGCAGTTCAAATCTACCAGATGCTTTGCTGGAGGAAGAGGGGTCATCTTCTCCTGTGCCAGTCAGATCAGATCAATGGTACACAACAAGAAAAAAGGAGGGGAAAAAACCACACCCACCAACCAAACACACACACACAAACATACACACCAGGTTTATGAATCATTTAGTCTCAGAACAGGAGCATCTTCCTTAGCTTTATTCAGATTATATGCTATTAAAGTCAACAATTCTCCTATAAGAGCTACCATTTAAGGATACCAATGTAGAAGTCAAATAGTAATTACATATTCCTTCTCTAATAGACTAACCTGACCAGGATTTTTATAAAGCAAAAGTGACTCAGTGGTAAGATTTCTACCTCCCAGATGTCTATTCCAATTTTTAGCCAATATTTCTGTATAAGAGTCAGGAATTTATAGTAATTATAAATTACAGTAATTATAGTTATGTGTGATTACTCACACATGCAGCTTAAACTACTTCTTGTTGTTATGTACCATCATCAAGTCGCTTGAGACCCATAGCAACCATACCTACAGCAGCTCTGAAGCCTGCCCTGTCCTGAGTCAGTCTCACCAACTCTGACACACCAACCCCCTTTGCCCCCATCACTCTATCAATATTCCATCTCATCGGTCGTCTTCTCCTGTGCTGTCCCTCCACTCTTCCAAGCATGATGTCCTTCTCCAAGGACTGGTGTCTCCTGGCCACATGCCTAAACTACTTAGCAGAAAAAAAACAAAAACAACCCACCAACTTTAAAACAATTTTTTTTTTTAATTTAGGTTGTTTATTTTTCATTTCAATAAACATCTATAGAGATTTTGGGATTCCATTCATTCATTGTTGCACCCCACCCCCCCCCACAACCCCCCACCCCCGTTCGCTCCTCTCCTTGAAAAGCAAAAGAAAAACTCCCTCATTGGTACACAATCCCCCCCGCACCTCCCCAAATTTATTTTACATTAAGTGACGGCCACTTAAAAGGAAAAAACTGATAATATGGAGACTGTAAAACAGGTAAAATTTTGATAGGCTCTAGAATTCTAAATTTAGAAAGACTTTTATGTTGTTTTGTATGTGCTTGTTTCTTCCCTAGACTATATGACATTCTTGTTTTACCTTTCAAATCCCAAGATATGGAATTGTTTCTAGGCACTAGGCAATAAACAATGCAACAAGATATAATAACTTAGTCTCTACCTTAGGACCAAAATAACATGCATTCATGAAACTAATAGATTCTTATGTTTCAGCAATAAAAATTAACACCTAATCAAAAATATTTTACTTTTTTAAAATCAACTACATTTGTCATATACTATTCAAATGGGCCTTTCATCATATCAGTTAAATTTAGAAAAAATCCATCACAGATTTTGGGTTTTAAAGGTAAAATATCTTAAAAAAAAAAAACAAAGAAAAAAAATCCACATTGTATAAAATTTCTCTTTCTGCATAACTGATCCACAATTTTGTAAATTAGTATTGTAAATGCTTAGACAGTAATAATTTTATTAGATGTGTATTTGCTAGTTTTCCTCAAAGGCTAAATAATTATGTCATTTTTATTTCAACCACAAATATTTACCATTGAAAATCAAAGTCTTCTCTTCCCAAGAGCAGCCTCAGGTGATCTCCTAAAATGGTGAGCTACTCACCTGACCCACAAAATCATGCAAATCAAGAGGCTCAAATATCAAGATCCATTTTAAGAACACCCAGGAAACTGCCTAGGCCATCAAGGGTATATGCATATCTAGACAGCCGCCAAGTATCTGAAAGATGTCACGCTACAAAAGTAGTGGGTGCCATTCAGACCCTACTACAATGGTGCAGTTGGGACCTGTGCCCACGCCAACCAGTGGGAATGAACAGAGGGTCGGGTGACCCAAAGAGTGCTGAGTTTTTGCTGTGTTTGCTTAAAAATGCAGAATAATGCAGAATTTAAGGGTTTAGATATCAATTCTCCGTGATTGAGCACATCCAGGTAAACAAAGCTCCTAAGATACGTCACTACTCACTACGCATACAGAGCTCAAGGTTGGATTAACCACTGCAATGAGCTCCCCCTGCCATATTGAGATGATCCTTACTGAAAAGAAACAGACTGTTCCTAAACCGTAACAGGAGGTCACCCAGAAGAACAAAATCTCCCAGAATAAACAAAAACTTATAGTTCAGGAATAAATAAGCATCAAATAAAATTTCAAATAACATTAACATTTAAAAAAAAAGAAAAATCAACCTCTATTAGAGTTCTATGTTCTTTCAAAAAATCCAAAACCAATCCACCTTAAGATAGATAGTAATTACAACCTATAAATTAAAACCACTACATACTATACACAAAAATTAGGGCAGCAGTTATAGGAAATATCCTAAGGTTCGTTACACACATCATCTAGTATAAATTACAGACAAACCACAGATCCCTAAGGTAACGAACAAGCAGAACAAAAATGTAACTAGCAAAACAATACTAATCTATATATAATAGAAAAAAAATTTTTTTTTAATTTTTCAATCTCAGTAATTTATTTTTCTTTCTGGTAATAAATCAGCTATCCCTTCAAATAAATTATTTATATAAATTTACATTAAGCTAAACAAAAATAAATGCAAAAGGGAAAATAAATAAAATAATTTTTAAATTATTTTCCCATTTCAATCTAGGATGCACCCAGGGAATTCTATTTATCTAATTAAATTGTATTTGTTCATCTAAGAATGTAATTGCTACCAAACTAAACAAAACACAGGGGCAGTTATTTACTTTAGCTGGGAATAAGGACACTTAGTCCATAGTCTCATTAGTTTAAGAGTCAACTGACAATGGTCAATTCTACCATTTCATGACTCAGAATACAATGTTTATAGAGTCATAAGACACAGACAATAAGCAATTATACTCAGTGCATGTCTCCATTGTCCAAGTACCCTCTGACTCAAGTACCCGGGATCACAACAAGCAAGTGAGTTGTCTTTGCAGTAACTGAAATATCACAAATTGTGAAGCTTTTCAAACCTAACAGTAAAGTATACTGGTAATTAGTGAGTAAGTACAAATATAATTCTGAGATACTACTGTTAATGCCCAGTGATAACATAGTAAAATTTCTTAGCTATAATCTAAAAGAACTTCAATGGCACACCTGAACATTTTCAAGAATCTCCTGGACTCGAGTCAATAAAGCTTTCTTCCTATTAACCTGCTTTCTTGCTTCGACATCAAGTGCTTTCTGCTTTTCTTGTTGCATTTCCTTTCTTCTCTCAACGTTAAGCTGTAAGACATAATACAATGACAAAATCATCAAAATAGCAAGGTTTGAATCAGAATGACAAATAGCAATGCAAACAGCAAACCTTGCCTATAGTGCAAGAAACTGGAACAGTTGTCAAGGAATGGAGGATGCATGCTAATGCAATCTGTGGATGGTTTTTCTGTGGGTGGACATTAAAACTGTGTATGTCATATATCAGAACTCGAACAAATGCAACACTACTAATCAGGGTATTTCATGGTATGTAAATTAATTGAAGCTAAGAAAAAAGATGCCTATGAATTGTGGTTTTGGAGAGAGTATCAAATAGCCCAGGGACTGCCAAAAGGACAAACAAATCTGTCTTATAGGAAATGCAACCAAGGTGCTCCTTTGAAACAACGATGGTGAAACTTTGTCTTACAAAATTTGGGCATATTGGCAAGAAAGGCCAATTCTTGGAAAAGGACATCATGCTGGAAAAGGTGGAAGATCTGAGAAAGAGAAGAAGATGCTCAACAAGCTGCACAGTGACTGTAACAATGGGCTTCAGCATATTGGAGACACTGATTATGGTGCAAGATGGGGCAAGGGTCAGATCAGTTGGTCAGAGGGTCACTAGGAATTGGAGTCAACACAATGGTCAGAACCACAACAAAGATAGGTGAAAAAAAGAAAGAAATCTGTTCATTGGTCAAATGCTCTACAATAAAAAAAAATGCTCTACAATCAAAGAGCTACAATTAGCTTTGTTGGAGAATATTAAATTTTTCATTTGGTAATATCTTTATCCACTTTCTAAGCTAGATGCCTCTGGAAACTCCACAAACTCTCTCATAAATGTACAAATGTACAGAAATGATGTTAATTATAAAACAGTGTTCATGTCTTTTGTGCAAAGCTTATTTTGAGTCATATTCGACTCAACAGCACTTAACCACTGCTAAATGAGACTAGTGCTGTTGTATCTGGAGGAACATTCTTCCACTTTGCACATCACTGTTTGTCAATGTGCTGTAGGAGGTAACCTGGGGTTGCTATGATGCTGAACTTTGTGCCATGGGGATATCAAATACCAGAATGGTTTCCCATTGTGGAAAGTGCTTGGTGGAGCTCCCAGTTGTAAATCAGGTTGGGAAGCAGGAGTGGCATCTACTTCCTAAACCACATGCCTCTAGAAACTCTATGAACTTGGAGAAACAAAGATAGCTATGGAAAGGCATTATTCATAGAGTTGCTATGAGTCGACCTCAACTTGATGGCAATCAACAACAACAATATCATTATTATGTCAGTTATCCAACTTTTAATCCTCCAATCAGTGTACTTTACTGTTTGTTAAACAACAAAGAAGTCTGAAAACTTAACAACAAAATTAAGCAGATAATATTCAATTTGTCCACAAAATGAGAATACATTTTTGGTTCCACCTCACTGTATTCATCAATAACTAAAATGGGTCTACGATAATTAAAGGCTTCTAAACATTCTGTTTAATAAAGAATTTAAATCCTAATTAATGGGATTTTGGAAACTGAGTCACTGTATTACCACTCCTGATGATTTTACACAAACACAAATGGACACATCATAGTAAAATTATTCCAAAATCACAATATTCCTCTATTAAGACAGTGTAAACATAATCCATAAACATTAATTTTGCTTATAATAGTGACAAAAGGAGTGAAAGAACCTAAAGAATCTTGGTGGGGAGGGGCTACATAACAATGAAAGAGTTTTACTTTTCAAGGAGAAGAGTGAACTGGGGGAGGGGAGGGAGTGGGCATGGAGAAAACTGCAACAATGAATGAATGGAAACCCTAAGTCTCTGTAAATATTCACAAAAATTAATTTAAAAAAAGAACCTAAAGAATGAGGTTCAAACATTTAACCCATCATTAATTCATCAAGTAATACATCATTAAGCATCTTGTCAAACTTTGATTTGTTATGTGCTGTCAAGTCGCATGCAACTCATAGCGGCTTTATGTACAACAGTTCTGAAACCTGCTCCATCTTGAGCCAATTTTACTGTCTGACACATTTACTCCATCACCCCAGACACTGAGTAAATCCATTCATCCAGGGTCTTCTCTTGCATTGTCCTTCCATCTTTCCAAGCATGAGGCTCCTCTCCAAGGACTGGTCCCTCCTGGAAACATGTCCAAAGAATGTCAAACAGAACTTCAAAATCCTTGCCTCCAAGGAGCATCCTGGTTTCACCTTCTCCAGGACAAACTTGTTTGTCTCTCAGCAGTTCATGATATATTCAGTGTTCTTCTCCAGCACAACTTCTTCTATCATCCTTATTCATGGTCCAGCTTTCTGTTACATAGCAAGTAATTGCAAAGACCATGACCTGGATCAGGCACACCTTAGTCTCTAGATACCATTGCTCTTCAGGGTTCTGGAGAGGTCTCTCACAGCAGATTTCCCCAATGCAATTCATCTTTTGATTTCCTGGTTGTTGGTACCAAGAGTGTTGACTGTGGAGCCAAGCAAGCTGAAGCTGTTAACAATCTCAATCTCTTCTCCACCTATTATAATGCTGCCAATTGGCCCAGTGGCGAGAATCTTTGCCTTCTTGATGTTGAGCTTCAATCATATGGATTGAAGGCTGAAGTCCTTGACCTTCTGCAGCAAATGTCTTTGGTCCTCCTTAGTTTCAGCAAGCCAAGTTGTATCTTATACATAATGCAAGTTGTTGAGTCTTCCTCCAATACTGATGTCACATTCCTCCCCATAGAGCCCAGTCTCCCAGATGATCTCTTCCGCATATATATTAAAAAGGTATGGAGATAGGATGTATCCCTGGCATACACCTTTCCTCATTTTGAACCATGCAGTGTTTCCCTTCTCTGTTCTGACAACTGCCTCACGGTACAAGTAGAGGTTTCATATAAGCACAATCAAGTGTTCTATGATTTCCATTCTTCTCAAGGTCAGCTACAATTTGTTGTGATCCACACAGTCAAATGCCTTTGCATAGACAATGAAACACAGATAAGACTTTCCCCTGGTACTCTCTGCTTTCATCTAAGATCCATCTAAAATTGGCTGTAATGTCCCTAGGGCCATGGCCTCTTCTAACACCAGCCTGTACATCTGGCAGTTAGTGTACTTGCTAATCAAAAAGAATATACACCTATAAAGACCCATCTCACATTTATCACTGTAAGGAAATCATCAAACCAAATACCATAAAGGAAGAGCAAAGGGGCATCTTGCTACAACTGATTTAATAAGATATACACAGCATCATCACAAAAGAATTGCTCAACATGAAACTAAAAATATTCTTATTTTTAGAAGATGCATACCAAAATACTAAGAAGATCAGAACATCTGAAATTTTCAAATGGTCCAGTAATAAAAAAAATATATAAAGACATAAAAAAAAGGAATTATTTATAATTAAGAGGACATATAAGAATGAGACTG